TATACATATACCACACTGGGAATATACATATACCACACAAGTAATATACGTATATCACACTAGTTATATACATATACCACACAAGTAATATACATATACCACACAAGTAATATACATATACCACACAAGTAATATACATATACCACACCAGTTATATACATATATCACATTAGTTATATACATATACCACACAAGTAATATACATATACCACACTAGTTATATACATGTACCACACCAGTTATATACATACATCACATACTATTATACATATACCACACAAGTAATATACATATACCACACAAGTTATATACATATACCACACCAGTTATATACATATATCACGTATGTATTAAACAACTTCACTAGAATATAAACATACCGCACTAGTAATAAATATATATCACGCAGGTTATATACATATATCACACAAGTAATATAAATATGCAACGCATGTGATATACTACATAACAAGTAGACATATATCACATAAGATATATACATATATTTATGTTAATGCACAAATAAAAAAACATGCTATCTTGTTCATTGTTTTGTTTTTTCAAATACAATTGTCTAACAATTTGACAATTGAATGTCGTGTCTCTCGCAGGTGCATTATGATGACGGGCGACATTCTAAAAGTCGATATCACACCTTGAAAACCAAAAGCTGTCCATTGAATGAGAATATCCCAATGTGTCTTTAAAAATCAAAGTCGTTGTAATTCAATTGTTAAAATTCATGACCATCAAAGGACTCTGATCCGTACTTAGATTCACCTTCATCCTTCGGACTCTCAAATGGTGGTATAGCGGAAGAAGGGAAGAATTCGTTAGTATGGAACTTTTTCCGATAATTATCTGTACAAACGGAAAGACTGGATGTTGGGCGTACCATACTTAGGCTAGCAAAGCTTCCAGTAGTCTCACTTTCCCGGAACTGTCGTCTGATATAATCATAAAACAGAAGTAACATTTTTGCATGCGTCACAAATCGCACGGTTAGGGTCGTTTTTGTGCTTGCCAGATTTATATAGATATTTAAGTACTAAAGTTACGTCATTTGAAAAGTGCGATAAAAAACGAGCAAAATATTATGTTAAAGGCCATGCAGAAATGTCGCAACGAAGTAATGCTTATTCTACTAAAAAAATATTTTTTTATAAATTCTGAAAGATTAACTGATCGTAAAATTACTGTCAAACTGAAATGAAAGCATTCATGCTATAACATCAGAATTGTCGCAGTGTAACACAATCAATCATTGTACGCACTGAATACCAGCAATAAGAAATATCCTTCTTAATATCTGTTTCAGCATATATATTTTTTTTAAATTACAAAATTTGGCTTTTAAGTTCACTCATTAGTTTTATTTGACTTTATCATGAAATAAAATGCATGTCATGTTATTGTATAGTTACTACTTTAGTAAAAGTAATACCTTAATTGGGATTCAAATATAATTTAGGCAATAGGGTATAAATTATCTCTGGTTGTACTAAATTTGTGTCTATCCAAAATCTGTACGAAGAAACCAGCTTCAAACCTCTTAAGGAACGACGAAAGAAGCATAAATTAACTCTTTTCTATAAAATGTCAAATAACCTATCATCACCTTTTCTTAAAACGTTAGTTCCAAACCATGTCGGAAGTACCACAGCCTACAACCTAAAAATGCAGACAACCTAAGAAACTTTCAATGTAATACTCGCCTTTTTTCTTCTTCGTTTGTTCCTCAAACAGTTACTGATTGAAACCTTTTATCTCCTAAAGAGGGAAATTCACCAACTCTTAACAATTTTAAATCCAGACTTAACAATGATATAAGGAAGGTTCCAATTCATTTTACTATGGAGACAGAAAATTACAAATCCACCACACACGCTTTAGAAATCACTGCAGTTCATTAAACGAGCACCTATTCTCAAAAAACATCATAAAAAGTCCCCTTTGCACATGTGGTGAAATCGAAACAACATATCACTACTTTTTCAGATGTTTACTATTTGAAACACAAAGGACACAGCTAATTAACTAAATTAATTCACTTGAAAATGCAACCCCTACATTTTCCCTTGTTGTATATGGTGATAGTAACAACCCACAAATCAACAAATTTGTCTTTGAATATGTTCACCATTATATACAACAGACAAGGAGATTCTCATAAAGAGGCCCACACAATCCAATACCGTAAGCAACCTAAATCTCTCTCGCTCTCTCCCTCTCTCTCTCTTAAGAGTCAACATGACAATAGAAGTGTACAGGGAAGTGCCGTTATAGGCATCTGAAGGTACTTTGAATCAAATTCATTATTTCCGTCTTTACGGACGGGGTTTTAAAACAAAGAAATACATTTGTTTCAAGAAAAAAAACTTTGAAACTATCGAAAAAAGACAACTAATTGCAACATGAAATGTATTTGAGAAATTGTTCTGTTTTAAATTTGTTCATATTATAAAACGACATTTATATGATAAAGAAGACCAAAATAATTAAATAAAGTAACCACTGGTAGACTACCGACGTTTAATGGCCAAATAATGAATAGGTAATATGATATTGATGACATAACACGTAAAGTAAATACACTTTTATTTCAATATAAGTTTACAAAGCATACGATTAAAACATGAAAATATTAATACCGATCTTGATGTATTTGCATGTATTCAATAAAGACTTTTCAGTTAAAGACTGAAAAAATTCAATAACTATACTCGAAAGATTTCTTGAAAATTCAAAGGTGCTTTTGTAAATATATGCCATTACATATTTAACTTGAAGATATTACCAAATACGATCGAATTTATAGTGAAAATGAACGTTTATTTGCCATTTTATTTATTTTTATCAAATTTGAAAAACTTGTGGTCAAGTTTCATGAATTTTATTATTTTCTTTTGATCTTAGGTATTTACTGGTTCCACTCTCATAATTATTAACTGAGGATTTTTATTCTAACATTCATGTTAAATATTTAAATTTGCTTTCTTATTGGAGATTAGCAATTGCAATAATTTTGAGTCTTTTTCTTCACGGCAATATAAAGCACAAAGCTCTAACCCGAGGAAAATGGTTTTGATGGGTGACTTCCTTGTTCTTTATATATGTTTTTGAACCGGTGATTTGTTCTTTCTTCATATAAAGTGTACAATGTTAGGTAAACCAGACCAGTTTCAGTTGCCAGTCATTCAAATACCAAGTCTGATTCTATTGCGAATTTACATTCCATTTGGTTGGAGATACTTCTTTACCCAAAGACGATCGATCATCACAAGTATATTTGTAACGTTCTATTTTTTTGGAAATTTTCTTTATTGCTTTGCGAGTAATTTTGAACAAGCAAATTATAACCATCAAGCTATCCTCCTGATATAATTTCTTCAATGCACTCAAAGTTGTGCCAGAGAAATAATGTAAGGAAGAGAACTTTGTGTGTTCCCGATGAAGTATTCATGTGATATTTATCAAACATAATGATGCAATCTGGCACACAAGGTTAAAACAAACAAATAAGGGGAAAACACAAAAAATAGAATGATAAATAATAAAAAAATAAAACAGAAATATGTATCATTATAAATAAAATAATAAATGGTCCTCACGTTTTACATTTTCATTTGTTTTAAATCAAAACAACCAATTGGAGTCGTGGTCATGTTCTTCATTAATCGTACAAGTCGTTTTCAAAATAAAACCCCATTTTAATGTTTTTCTTATTGAATGTTACTTTTGCATTTCCATTATCAGACGACATGCTGGAATGTGGGCGTATCATATTTAAGCTGAATAAGCTGCCATTGATTTCTTGTCTAGCTGAAAGTCTGAAAAATGAAAAAGAAGACTAATTTGATATACATATATCTTTTTTTTTCTTTTTTGTTGTTGTTGTTGTTGTTTTTTATCTTGTATGGTATTTTACCTTTCTTTCGCATAACACTTGTGACTCGAATCAGTTGATGAATGCAAGCATACGAGTACCTGAACATTGTATTTCAAAGTACTTGTATAAGGACATTGTATGTCAAAGTACGCGTATACTAAAAATTAGCTGATGATGCCTTTTTTCCTGCAGCAGTACCAAACAATTAAGCATTAATGAAGTTTGGTTGCTTTGTGAATTTACTAAAATATTACTTTTTTTCAATTAATGCTTTGTAATAAATGCGTAACAATAAAATTTAATGTATTTGTATTTGTAAGATAATTTTTCAAATGAATAGCGTCGTTATAGAATTGTTTTAATGTTTATATAATTATTCTTATCACAACATCGCTATAAATTTGTGCTCTAAATAGTGGTGTTCTTAGATGCCATATTATCTCGCAATATTACTTTTATTTCCATAAGGACATTAGATATATGAACTTTTCCTACTTAAGATCACATCATTTCATTGATGCATAACAAGGCAGTTTAGATGTCGTTTTCCCGTCTTCATAAAAAATAAGTAGATAATGAAATGTAGCCATATCGCATTTTTACATATAATTAAGTTGGTTTTAAATGTTGTACTTACTTTTTTGTCTTCTTGCATAATATTAATACGATTGCAATGACAATGAAGAGACACCCAAAGCTGACAGCAACCGGAATCGCAATAGTTACTGAAAGATTATATTATTTATATTTATTATAAGAAAACATTACTTATTGAAATAAACAAAATCGAAAAGTATAGATAAATTTCTCCATTAGAATCAAGCAAACGGTGGTAATTCGTATTGTGAAGTGTAGAAAACACAATCTTAAAGCTCTATTCTAGTTACTATCTTAAATCTGATAAACATAAAGATAGTATGTCACTTTTGTATCATGTAAATACCGTAGAAAAACTTCATAGTATTGATAATTACTTTTAAATAAATTAAAGGAAAAAATTTGTACAATATAAATATTACTACAACCTCACATTTTACATTTCTTGTAACAAATGCTTGAAATAAGCAAAAGTTTTATTCAAATTAACGAATATCTATTTCAGCAAAATTACATGTTTTGTCGCTGCTTTCGTCTTCTTTTTCTTTGTTCTTTGGAATTATCTCCACTAATTCTGAAATATGTACGCATATAGAGAAGAAGTCGGCAATTGAAAGTTCAAAATAAAACAACCATAAACATATGTACTTTATGAATGCTTCATGCTATCGGTAAGCTATTGTAATTTTTTTGCTTACTTATTATATGAAACGACCAACATGGGAAACTTAAATGCTCCAGATTACCATGGATAGGCGTGAAGTAAATATCACAGATTACCTTATATACGTGCCAGGTGGTCTTTCGAATATTATTTTTAAATCATTGTGTCCTTGTGTACATAATTGTCTAGTTATGTATGTGTTATGTTTCTTTACATTCCATAAATAAGCCACCATCCTATATCATTTCAAATTTATCACAAATTTACGGAAGCCCATAAATGCCATTTTGTCTTAGGACTTTTGTCTTATGACTAATGACTTATGTATTATGACTTTTGTCTTATGTATTATGACTTGACAAAAAAGGCGGCAAAAAGGCAAGTTTCATCACATGCGCCCATTATGGCTGACGGAGGTAAATCTGATAGTGAAACAGAAGACAATTTGGTAAGTGTTGAAATTTAAACAGTTAGGCTCCCTTATACAAGCTTATTTCTCAATGTATTATTGTTTGTTTATAGCGAACACTATTTATGCTATTTATTTATAGCACATACTTGCTCCGATTCATGTATCAGCTAAAACTACAAAGATTTCATCAAGAGTACAAAATTTAGACAATTTAACAGGTAAATATTCCTGCTGTTAGTGCAAAGTACTCCTCACAGTGTTATCTCACCATATCTGTTCATTAACCTGTGCAATCACTTGAACAATATATTTGACTTTCTTAGTGTTGAAATAGTAAGGAAATAAATACAAATATCCAAGATTAATTAATAAGTGATTTTACTGCTTTGAGGTTTGCAAACATCATGATTTACTATGGCCACCTGTTTTTTATGTTAGCAGGGATAATGCTTGTCATGAGAATCAAATTTCAAAGATAGATAAACTTCATTCATGAGTGTAAAAGCGGAATAAGGTTCATTTCCCTAAAAAAGCATGGATTATGATACACTTGACGGCTTAATAAAGGCCTGGTACCACTTAGCAGATACAGCGTCATTAAAGCCAGTTAGCATATATAACACGTAATGTGTGGTAAGGTGATGTGTATTTTGAGAAACAGCAATAACATTAAAGAATATTTATAGGTCTGATCATATTTCACTTAATTTTTTACAGCACATAAAATTTCAAAAATATCTATAAATTCATCATTTAAATTTCTAGAGTTTTATCTTTAATTCAGTTTGTATATATTGTTCTGTACTATGGTCTGTATAGAAACTATGCGAACAACAGGGAAAATATAAATCACTTTTATCTACATCTTTCAAGTTGCTGGCTAATTAACTGTAAGGTGAGATATAAAATGATGCAAGGTTGACCCGGTATGAACTGATAAGTCACAACACTTGGAATAATCTATTCATGTGTAACAAGTTTATTCAGGAGACCACTAAATGATTAAAGGAATTATTAATGATAATTTTTCAAGAATAAGTATGGGTAAGAGTTCGTATTAAGACGACCGTAGGGAGTCTTATCGAACTCTTACCCATATAACTGCAAATCGGCTCTTACAACTCGATATCAGATAAAAATATAGAAAGTGTCACCTCTTTAATTTAGCATAACATTATTTTCCCCCAGCAGTCACGTACAAACAAGGATGGGGTCCAATTACTTAATCTGGCATGTAAAACAATGAGTTTTCAACAATACCTAGGATTGTTAATGCAATTCATTCCTGTCATATGAAACAAAATAATGTTTTCTTACTTTTTTAGAAAATATAAACAGTAGCAATTAATAATTGACATTTTTCTTAGAGTTAAAAGGATATCAAAAAGTTACTGTGTTCTCATTTGTCTCTGCGAGCTGAGCTCCACGTGTATTATCTATGTAATAAATTTGAATGTATCCTCACATTGCTACAGTGTTATCAGCCTTTTTAGAAACACCTGACCTGGCTAATTTAAATATGCCAATTACAATTTTCACTATCAGCACTGGTTTCTTCATGAAAAAGCGGCTACACTAATTACTGTCGAGTAAGAGCCGATTTGCAGTTATAATAACAATATCTATTTCAAAATCATATCGAAGTAACACTTTCTGTGTCATAGGCTAATAACAATTGATAACACAACTTTATATGAGACATGTATAAATGTTATAATGGAGTACTTATAAGAATGCTACACTTTAATTTAAAACTGCCTTTAATAAGTGTTTTTAAAGCAGTTACAATAACAAAATCAATTTAAAAAAACTGACCAGCAGGACTATTGTTCACTAGAACTGAATTGGATAACACAAGCGAGGAATGTCAGTTTTGATTTTGAGAAACATAACATTTGAAGTAGATTTATGGAAAGATAAACATAAAGTACCTTTGTAAATATTTACAAAAAGGAAAGGTTTGGGAGAATAAGTGCCATCTGTGAGATATCTCACTATACACTCAGTGACTCAGTGAATCGGCTATTATCACCTGGTATCTCACTTACGGAGAATTTGAATTTTGTAGCAAACAACAAAGCATGATTTATGTGTGAAAATGTAATTATTAAGATTTATAAAAATTATTCCAAATTTCAAAATATTGTTTTGTTAATAAAAGAAATTCAACTTCCAAGCTCTTCACTGGCATGTGTATCACTGAAAAGAAAAAAAATGGAAACAAAGTGATCCCCCTGAAGCATTAATTACAACAAAATTATGCGAAAATTGCAGACTCAGTTTGATTGAGTCTGTACATGAGAGATAATGAATAAGTGCAACATCCCTCACGCCCCCTTGCACCGTCTTGAGCGGTACTCAATATCCACACTTAATACTGCTGGCATCAATGATCACGAAGGCCAGAAAAGTATACCAACACTGACGTACATTTTAGAACCATCTTGCTCTTTTATAGTTTTACTTTTCACCTCGATTATAATTGCAAAGTTGTCTCAATATCAGGTTCTTTTTTTAGAACACATCAGTCAAACAGTGGCTTAGTAAGTTTTATGAATGTCCATCCACATTAATACACTGATGGTCACTCCTTTGCCTCTGTTGAACATGGTCAGGATGTTAGTCCCAAATATTTCTCGGACGAGTCCTAATATGGACCATTTCATTTCGTGAGAGAAAGTAGTTTACAGTGCCCTAATCTTAACTCTCTAGAATTTACGTTTTCACCGCAAATTTTATGAACATTTGCCAGGAAAATGTTTTGATTGGTTTTCTAGGTCTTATTCCATTATTGGTCATCTGATTTATGAATGAATATATTTGTTAGATTAAGTAACAAGATTCTTGCAAGACAGACACATTTTGATACATTTTGTGAAACTTGATTCTTGCAATATTCTGTATGAAATATACATTATTTCTCCTACAGGAAAATGTGAGAAGAAAAACGAATTAAGGAGCTAGTTAAAAATATAGCAGGGCAAAAAAAGAAGAAAAACAGCTTATGATGGAAAATCCAAAAAAGGTAAAAATGAGACATTCAGTCTGGTACGTTACTCTGTTACAATGGAAAATCAAGTTTTTTTTTCAAGAGACAGGTTTATGATTTATAAGTACAACTCCCTAGATACTGAATAATGATGTTTTACCAAATAAATTTTGCTTTGGGTAGTTGCTGGGTCCTCCTAAAGAAGTGTGAAGAACATGTCCCATGCCTTAAACTTGCAACAAAAATAATCATTTTAGTTTAAAAAAAACAGTCTTCATATATGTACATCTATATCTGAGTCATGATTATATATATAATAATTAAGGATTTAATTAACTCTTTAACTTTTAAAGCAGCATACTTCAAACATTCATGAAAATTCTCATGAATAATATGAAAAGGAAAATATTGTTATGAACAAAGTAATAATCTACTTACAATCCACGTAAATTAGCAAGGGTGGTTAAATTGGCAAATATAGCCCTTTCGTTACGCGTTTTAGGAGAATTATGGTGATACATACTGCAAAACCAGTGATTTATCCCAAACATGTAAATTATAACTTAATTCTTGAATCTCTTTACTTTCTTAAAATCTTAGCATATTTATCTTAAGTTTGAGTTTTTTTTTTAAATATTTTGACTCATCTTTAATGCTTTAAAGTCATCTACTATGATACTTTGTGCATGTACAACTTTGTTCTTTTGTCAGATTACGTGCCATATATCCTTATTAATATAAAAATCAAGTTAAGTGAAATGGTTGATTCAATTGCATTAATTCAGCATAACTTATTCAAATATAAATAAATAAGAAGTTTCACACTATTGTCTTTTTTTTGCGTTCATTGAACGCTGCCTTAACTTGTTGATTTTGTTTATCATATTTTGTGGGAGGAATGAAATATGAGAGTACCTGAATCAGTTGTATTTTGATATCATTATATATACATGCAATGATATGTAATTAATTATGAAAAAGATAAGACAAGCTTGTAGTATGTAATCATTCAAAATATTACTTTTTTCCTCTCCAAATTGAATGTTTTATGTAATGAAACTTTACTATAAATGTATATTAATATGTGAAAATACAAGAGTACAATAAATGATAATTATTAATCTGATATTGAGGAATCTATGGTGAAAACAAGGATTTTTTTTTAATTTAAAATATGACATTTTTGAAGCCAATTCTTTGGTTTTTTTTCTAAACATGATCAATAGGTGGAAATGTAAAATCACTTAAAGAATGATCTGATACATGCAATGGTTCTACCAAATCGATAAAGATTTCTCGAAAATGACAAATAAGCAAATGTTTGACTTTTCATTCTTCTAAAAATTTGTGCAATGTTTGACTACATAATATAAAAATAAACACTTTTAAATAACCTACATGCAAATCTTTCTTTTTATTTCTATTAACAAAATAATTCGAAGCACTAAGATTCAGTTTGTATAAAAAAACAGTTTGAACATTTATGATTATTTTGGCACAGAACCGACA